TGTACTTTTCTTCCAGCCTGCTTTTATGTTTGTTCTCCCTCCTTCTTTTCCTTCCTCCCATTTCTCTCTCTCTCTCTCTCTCTCTCTCTCTCTCTCTCTCTCTCTCTCTCTCTCTCTCTCTCTCTCTCTCTCTCTCTCTCTCTCTCTCTCTCTCTCTCTCTCTCTCTCTCTCTCTCTCTCCCTGCCGTCTCCCCAGGCGCCCATCTCCCGGGTCCCGGAGGGTCCTCGGTGCGCGGGCACCAGGTGTGGCCACTGCCCGGCGGCCGGTAAGGCGGTCCCCTGGCCGACCGGCCGGCCCGACTGCAGGTGGGACCTCTTCACCACCGCCGCCGCCGCCGGACGCACGCCGCGGCGCCCCCGCTTTCATACGGGCTTCCGCGGCCGGCACTGTGCTAATGTTTGGCAAGATGGATGTATTTCTACCCAACAGTCGACATGGATTCGATTCAAACCGATACTGGGCAGCGGGCTAATGGAATGGGGTGCGGGTGGCAGGCAGCTGCCCCGCGTCCCGCGCCGGCGTTTGGGAAATGTAACAGAGCCGAGAGAAAGGAATATGGCGTGCCGCTTCGTTGGAAATTTTTTTTTTCAGATTAATGGAAATTTTATGCATGATATTATCGCATCTGTAGATACAATTGTTGCATTATTTGGTAGGAAATTGGAAAAATCGGTAAATGAGTCACGATTCTTTTGCAGCGGCTGGAGCAATAAAATATCTTATGGCATTAGTTCAAAGTTAAATTCATCTTGATTTACTTTGAATGAATTGAAATTATACTATCCATTAGTTTTGTTGCTTGGTCTCCAGTTGAGGTCATTCGTCCGCACCCTTACCCGTCCCACCCCGGCACTACACTCGTAACTTGGTCTCCAGTGTGATGTGATGTGTCACATTTTGACGTCAGAGCGTGCCGACGATTGTGACGCGGCAGCTGCGCCGGCACCGTCTTGGCACAGGTGATTAATGTCCATCCCGCGACCACGGAGGACCAGTGTATTGAGACGGCGGGCCAGTGTATTGAGACGGCGGCCTGACCTTGCCCAGCGTGCCACCGCCGCAGCGCACGGCGCGCGCCAAACGCCGATCACACGCGACCGAAAACCGCCACAGAACTCGAGCTACTTGAATGATTAACCAAATCAGTTAGCCAAACCTTTCCCTGGCGAAGTGAGGGGAACAGTACATAAGACGCTCATGAGCTGTTGTGTGGTCTACAGATTCCGAATTCCACGAAACACGGCCTCCATCGATAGACAGCCCCGAATAGCGACAGCCAATAGTCATTGAGACCGGGGACTGTCATGGAACAACGGCTACCCCGGCAGTCGGATTCATACAGCGCGTTCAGAGCTCCGCGCCGGCCAGCGCGGGATGCTTTGTGGTGGTCCCGGGTCTGCGCGGGCGGCGGCGGCGGCGGGCACCTGGCGCGTCGCTACGGTGTCCTGTCGTCTAAACGGTCACACTGACTCGCCCCATGGACAGTGACTCTATGGGGAGTGCAATGGGAGATGGCGAGGTCTACATATGCTGAAGAGGATCGTGATTCGTAGCGCATCTTATTTAGTAGGGTTAGTTCTTGCCATGGGGCTCGTCATTAGGCGTGTCTTGTGCTGCTGTTCAGTGTGAACTTACCCCACAATATAATGTAATCAACTGCCTGGTGTCCTAATGACACCGAATTAATCTAATCGCCGGCGTCACCAGCGCGGGCGCCGGCTGGTGACCGGTAACCATCACCAGACCCGCTTCGGACGCCACGGGCTCCATCCGGTCCCTCTCCCCAATCGGTCGACAGACCCCACCGGGCCGGCCGGCACTCATTTCAGCTGCCGGCCGGCCGTATTCAAATGTCGTCCGGCGTCCCCCGGCGCCGCGCCGACCGGAGCCTTTCATCACGCGCGTCACACCTCCACGGCCGGCGACAAAGCGCGCCAGATTACCGACGCCGCGCGCGCGCGCGCGAGCGCACAGCCATGTTTGAATGCCATTAACCCCCTCGGCGACCCGGGGCCGGCTGTCAGCGCGCGTTGTTATGCGTTGCGAGGGCAGCGTCACCCCTTCTGATTTGCATAGACCCGGCGGACCAATCACGGGCGCCGGCCGGATGCAGCGCCGTGCCGATTGGTCGGCAGGGCGAGTTAATTATGGCTGCCGGCTGGAGGAGGGGGAGGGGAGGGGGCCGGATGGTCGGTGACCAGCAGGGGTGGACGCTAGAAGCGTGATGAGACTGCAGAATGAGATAGAGCCCCGGGCGACCGGAGACGGGAGCCAGCCCAGTGGGTCACAGAGACAGTATCTGCTGCTCGAGATTTGCTTTAAAAAATATTTGCGCGTTGATAATTTAAATAGCATAATCAGTGTGTTATGCAAAGACACCCAAGCGGAAATTGAAATGGAATGAATTTGTGTGGTAAAAAATACGCCAGTTAAAATGGCATAAACGCAGACCTTTAAAGTTGTCACCCATCCGAATTGTATATAAACATGTTTTCGGCTCTGGCGGTTTAAGAATTTCTCTCCATCTATGAACTAAGAATCCGAACATGAGCTTCTATCATCTTGAGTACACAGTTATCGAAGCGAGTTTAACCCTATTAGTGGCAGGGGGGTTGTTTTTATCCACCCCTCAGGTTTTTCGGGAATATCTCCGAAACCGCTGAAGCTACGATGCTGAAATTTTCTGACTTTTCCTAAAACTAAATTGGGCACATTCCCTGAAAATTTCAAGTTCATAACTTTACCAGGGGCGGCTCCAGAACACTGGGAATTGGGGGGTCCTATTCGTGAAGCGAGTCATTTGGGCGAAGATCACGATGCTGCACCAGTTTTACGAACAGTGAATGAAAGGTATCATGTGATAACATATACAGTTATTGTGCATCCTCTTTTGACACGTTTTTGCTATAATAGGCGGATCCAGGCGTCCAAAAAGGGGGGTTATGTTTTACCTCCCAACATAGGTGCCCTGACACCGCCTATGCATGACCAATACAATTGTAGTCGTTCTCTCATAAGAAAATTGTAACATAACAAGACCATTACCACCCTTTTTAGAAACAGTACCAACAAAAACCTTATTCACTATACTTTTTGTGTACCTCCAATCTCAATGATCTGTATCCGCCTATGATTTTTGAAAATGCATATTTTTAGGATCCATGTGAATTCCTGGTTCATTCTCTATCGATCGGCAAAAGTTGCGTTAAGATTGGTTCAGAAACCTGGCCGTGATAAACAGTCTAAAATGTATCTACAATTTGCCCGTTTTTACCCCCCTCTACCCCCCCCCCCCCTATTGACAATTTTTAATTTTTATTTTTTAGAAATGTAGATCACGTTGAGCGAAATCGAATGCCGTTTGAATTTTGAAAATCGGCCCATTTCATCTCGAGATATCAAGGGGGGTCGTAAACAGCCCCCCTGCCCCTAATTGGGGTAGCCAGGAGCCTGCCACTAATAGGGTTAACGTGAGAGTTGGACTGTATTTTTCAATGTCCTGCAAAAAGTCCTTCCCTCTAGCTGCAAAGAATTGATTACGTTCTTCTGTTGGCTGCAGGACTTCCATCTCAAGTCAATCGTTCCAAATCAGATGGTGTGTTGTCGCTTTGGAGCTCCATTTTTCGTTGAAGATGGACCTTTATTGCATTATCCCGCTGTCTCGGAAGCCTTGCAGCGTGCAACTCATCTGAGGCTATATTTGTACGGACGAAAAACCGGGTCGGTTGAGAGGATAAGGAACATCGTTACTGAGCGCTCGGCCAAGAAGCAATCGTGTCAGCTGTGAGCCAATAAAACCCCTCCCGGATCCGTTGCCCAACATCAAACCGGATACCAGACATTACCTACTGGCATTTATTACCGACCATGCTCGCAGTCGCTACAAACAACTCATCGTTTAATTGGACACAAATTTCCATTGGACTTGGTCTACATTGCGCTATGTGACCTATGAACCAGGATAACTGTCGGGTCAGTTATGGCAGAAGGCTAAGGTAGCATAATTATTAAATAAATAACTAAATAAACAAATGAATAAATAAAAAAGTAAATGTATGAATAAAGACATCTAGAATCAAGCGGTGGGATCGCGAGGTGCTGCCTATTCAGCCGCACACCAGGCGATTGTTTATTATTAATGCATCGCAACACTACAGCCTACATATCTCTCTACCGGAGACATCTATATTTTCCATTCGGTAGCCCATCTACCTCACTCCAAATCCTATCGGTCACTCACATAAATCCCATTTTTCTGGCCATAGCATCAGTTTCCAGCGGGGCCACACGAGCGGGCGAAATATTGTCTGCCGCACCACCACTCGCGATCTGGCGGCCTTCTCCAATAATCGGATTGTCTTCTCCCCGCCTCTGTCGGGCTTCTGGTGTTTTTGCCCCTCCCACCTCGATCGGGCTTCTATGCACCACCTATACGGCTATATTGTGACGGGTGATGGCCGTACTGATTCGCCCTGGGGTGGCTCCCCAGTGACACCCGCCGAGGGCTTCCCATAGCGTAAACCAGAGCTTTGGAAGCCCGATAGGCAGCCGCACAAGGGATCAATTGTGGTTGCTCTGCCGCGGTAAGCTGCTTTAGCAGAAGGCAAGACAATAGCAGAGCGACACGGGAAAGAAAGACGAGCTGCTTTGGAACAATCGAGTTTCGATTATTGCGCGCCGGACTCGTTCTGCGTACGATCTCCGGCAGCATCAGCTTATGTGAGGCAGGAGGCAAAGATACTTAGAACTGGCAATGTCGTTCTAAGGCACCGCTGGCACCGCTGGCGCAATATGCCTGTGGGCCCGCAGCTCGGGACAGGTCCCAGCGGGGTAAGGGCGCTATCCTAGACGCCCTGTGCTGCCTGTTTCTATGTGCCGGCGCCCGGCAGCTTGGGGACTGGCTGTCACTGACGCTCTGTGTAATGTTTCTGTGTGCCGGCAGCTCGGGACTGGCTGCCACTGAGTACTGACGCCCTGTGCTGTTTCTGTGTGCCGGCAGCTCGGGACCGACACCATCCGGTGGCGGTATGAAGGAGGAGGCCCCCGCCATGGAGACAGAGTCGGGCCGGCCGGGCGCCAGCAGCCCGCCGCCGGGGCCGCTGCCCGACCTGGGTCTGCTGCAGCACCTGCCGGCCGCCCACCTGGGCCTGCTGGGCCAGCACAGCGGCCTGCTGCCGCCGGCCGCCCTCCAGGCAGCGCTCATGGCCAGCCTCGCCGCCCAGCAGGCCAGCCACATGCAGTACCAGCAAGCGCTGCTGGGGCCGGCGTCGGCGGCCGGGGGACGGCTGCCACCGCACCTAGCGCCGCCACCGCCACACACCACCCCCGGGCAGCTGCTGGGCTTCCAGCAGCGGGAGGCGCTGCTGGCCTGGTCAAAACTGGCCGCGCAGAGCAACGCGGCCAGGTTCCTGGGCGGCTCGCCCGGCCTGCCACACCCGGCCAAGCTGGACGACTCTGGTATCCAGACGTCGCCCAAGGCTGAGCCGGCGGTGACCAGCAGCACCTTCCAGCAGCCCGGCTCCGGCCTGCTGGGACCCTACTCTCTACCTCAGGAGCTGGCCGGAGGAACCTCGCCGTCTCCAAACAGCGGGTCGCCTCCAGGCAACGGCACCTCCAGGGCATCAGAGAAGAAGACAAACGGTAAGGAGGGCGGGCGAGAAAAGGTCTTCGTCTGCCAGGTGTGTAACCGCAGTTTCGGCTACAAGCACGTGCTGCAGAACCACGAACGCACTCATACCGGCGAAAAGCCGTTCGAGTGCAAGGAATGTCACAAGCGGTTCACTCGAGACCACCACCTGAAGACGCACATGCGGTTGCACACGGGCGAAAAACCCTACCACTGCGCGCACTGCGATCGACAGTTCGTTCAGGTGGCGAACCTCCGGCGACACCTGCGGGTTCACACAGGTGAGCGGCCATACGCCTGCGAAATGTGCGACTCCAAGTTCTCCGACAGCAACCAGCTCAAGGCACACATGCTGATCCACAAGGGTGAGAAACCCTTCAAGTGCGAGAACTGCTTCGGCACGTTCCGGCGTCGCCACCACCTGATGCATCACAAGTGCTCGAAGGAGTCAGAGCCGGCACCTGTACTGCCCATGCTGCCACTCGGCCTGATGAGCTCTGAGCGCTCGCCGCCGCCCGCGGGTCTGCTGAGCTCTGAGCGATCGCCACCGCCGCCGCTCACCAGCGACGAGCTGGACGTCGAGGCCGACTCGGAGACTCGCTCGGAAGCGAGCAGCGGCGAGCGGCTGCGCTCGGGCGGCAGCAGCGACGACCGGCCGGTCGACGAGCACCGGCGCCGCGAGCGCAAGCAGAAGGAGACGCGCCGGCTGGTGCGGCCGCCGCCGCTCACATCCACCGTCACGTCGCCGTTCGCGCTGGGCGTCAGCGTCGGCGGCGCGCCCGAACAGACCGAGCCGGAGGACCTCAGCATGCGCCGCACCACCGGCAGCGACGAGGAGCCGGAGGAGCGGCGCCCTGACCCGCTGGCCTTCTCGGCCGACAGCAGCCGGGACACGTTCTCCGAGACGGGCGCCCAGCTCGCGCACACGTGAGCTTCACCAGAGATGTTGCAACCAGCCGCGGCCCTGCCGCATTCACGGGTATTTTGTTGACAGATGCGCATGTTCCTAGATTCTACCTCACACACCAGTCGCGGGCTGAGAACGCCTGGTTTTCCGAGCAGGGTTGGGAGCGGGATCGAGCCGCGAACGAGCCCCTTTCTGGGGCTGCTGATTAGAGTGCAGTCACTCCGCGGTGGAAGGACACTCGGCGCGCCATTTTCGCCCCAGTTTCCCTATGCGCCGGTGGCGTCGGCCGCGGCACCCCCGAGCTGTATCGATTGAGCCCCGGGGAGTTGGGAGACGCTGGCCGCCATCGGCCAGCTGCGGCCCGGCCCAGGTCCGCCGGCCATCAGTCGTCCATTACTCATCGTGCGCCGCCGATCTGACGGCCCGTTCGCGTTCTCGTTCTCTCTCTGGTGCGCCGTCGGCCGGCCGGTCCCTCTGCGTCCGACGGTATTGCCAGTTAATCGATCGGGCATTATATGCAGGGCAGCGGCGCAGCGGTGGCGGCTGCGGCGGCGGCTCCGTGGGGACCCGCCGCCACCGCCGCCGCCGCCGCAGCCTCCGGCGCCGCTTTTTCGCAGAGCACCGGGAGGCCCAGGGCACTTTCTGGCTCTCGGCTGACCCGTTAATAAATAATCAGCGCCGCCGCACGACTTGGGCACTTGCTGTCGCCGTGACGCGCCGCCGATGACGCGGCCGGCGCCGGGACCGCACCGAGCCACCCCAGCGGCCCGCGGCGGTGCTCACCCGGCCGAGAGGTTGTTCACCCGGCCTCGAGGACGGTGGCGCGCATCCTGGCACGCACACGCACACGCAGCGGGCGGTGAAAGTGGCCGCGTGGCTCCTCGGCCGCTGACCCGGCCGGCGCGCGCTATTTTCGGCGCCGGTTGCTGGCGCGGGCGGAAGTGTTACGCGCGTGTGCGTGGGAGCGCGACCGGTCGGCCGGTGGCCGCACCCCGCGGGACGCCGCTCCCACCGGTCGGGCGGCGCCGCCACGCACAGGTGTCAGCCGCGCACGCACAGAGCACAGAGAGCAGCGACTCAGTGGCGGGCCAAAGTTCAGCTGCGGCGCATTTTCGATGGAGGCTTCAAATTTCGAGAAAAAAAAGTAGTTGGGCCTGGCGCGCATTTGAGTCATATTTCTTTGAAGAACTTCAAGCCACATAATTCAATTGGAAAACAACGTAAAATCCCACATCAAAACGTGCCAAAATCGAAATGCGGTAGCGTCTCCCAGCTCCCCTCTTATGTACAAAATTCCCACTGGATACAGATAGTTAGCAGACCTAGTCTCAGCGGTGTGAGCGAAGCTTCCAATGGGGACGGAGCTGCTCGGCGGAGCTGTGCCAGCCAATTCCAACCGCTCAGGGAGGTGGAGTCAAAAACAGTCAGTGCGCTCGCCGCGGGCTGTGCGCGTGCAGTTGAAAAGACCGCCAGCGGTTAGGGTGGGTAATGGTATTTAGAGCTGTTCGTGACGTCATTTGCAGTGTTGTGTCCTGTCGAGTTGTGAAATGGTGACAAATTATCACACTTTAAAGACGGCAATATTAAAACTTCTTGAGATATCACCAGCTTTTAGTTATTTCGCATCTACCTCCCGCTCAGACCGGCTGACTGCAAACACCTTCTTGTTTTCCAAAACACAATCCATTTTCATAGCCACGTAACATTTTCGTTGCGCCTTCCCCGCGGTTCTCGAGAAGGACGACGCTGGGTTCCGGCGCCGCGGCGCCACGTCCTCTGTCTAGTTAGTAGGTGTTCCCCGGTGTTCTGTGTTCCCCGGCCGGCGCCGGCGCGGGGCTGGAGCTCGTGCAGTACGCTGTTACGTGGTGTCGTCGCGTCATGTGACTATAGTTGTGCGCGCTGCCGTGACGTGTGGTCTGTGTGTATGTGTGGGTGTGTGCAGGTGTGTGTGGGTAAGACGGAGGCCAGTGTGACCTAACTGATTACGGGTTTTGTCGGCATGCCGGCGGGGTCAGCGCGAGCAGCCGGTGTCGTCTCTCTCTCTCTCTCTCTCTCTCTCTCTCTCTCTCTCTCTCTCTCTCTCTCTCTCTCTCTCTCCGCTGTTTCATCGCTCTGACTCTTCCCTCAGCAGGTTCGGCAGTGGACGGCTTACGATGATCTCAGTCTTCCCATCTCCCTCCCCCTCTCTGTTCACCTCCGGTTCATCGTACATGTGTCAAACAACTCGCACTCAACTCACACTCTCACTCACCGCTGTATCAACAGGCTGCGGGCCTCGTTAAAAAGCGGCCGCCAATAGACCTCGCACGCCCAGTCGGCGGCCAGCCACATCAAAACGGCATTAACAGCGCGCGCCGCCGCGCGAGCCACGTGATTTATCTCGGCTGGCTGGGAACGGGTGACAGGACGGCCACCACTCGGGGACCCGCGGCTGGGCTGGGGTTGCGCCGATCAATTGGGACCGGTTCCTGATGGGACACGGTCGTAAGTTAGCGTTAGCCACTGGTGCGTTAGCCCGAGATTTAGCAGTAGTCGGATCATGTGGTAAACGGGTTACAAAAAATGAAACTTCTTCCTCCTTCCCACCTTTTATGAGAATAACAATCACGCGGTTTTTAGTTAAAGTTACTCCAAACCATGGCATTAATTGAGCAAAGTAATTATTTAACCGATGCATTTCCATCCCATCTCCGGTACACTACTCAGTTCACGGGCCGTCGCCGTCTCACGTCACCCCGTCTGTCCCGGGAGCCTCTCGGAGCCCGTTCTGCCTCTGAAGGCCGCTGCGGTCCCCTCTCGGCGCGTGCGGGCCGGCACGAGCCTCTGCGCCACCCCTATCGGCCCTTCCCCCGTCGCCGACAACAGCGCGCCTTTGTCGGGCACTCGGTCAGGGGTCGGGTTAATTCGGCCTATTTCATCCGGCTGAAAGGGTGGGCAGGCCTGAAAAGGACGAAATTAGTCTCGGCGAGCCGTTGCGCCGTGCGGACGGGCTCGGTTGGCGGCACGTGGAGCCAGACCGACCGGAAAACAGACCGCTCGCCGCAACCGGCCGCTATAAAGGGGGCTACACCGGCGCGCGCACCCTTTGATTGAGATCGGCACGCGCCAATCGGAGGTTCAGCGGGGCCGCCGCGGACGGGTTGTCGGCCAATGGGAGGCCTTCGAAACAAACGGCAGTCGGGGAGGTGGTTTCTGGACGTCAAATCAGCTTTGAGCGGCGCTCGGGAGTGAAGGGATCGGTGCAGATTGGCGATATTGATGGGTGGCTGGCGCATTTTGTGGTTCACAGTGGGAAACCATGAAGACAGCTGTATTACTAACTTTAACGCCATGGGGTTTATTTGAGGCGTGTTTTTGGTTGAAACCGACGCAAAGGAATTTTACTCGGGGTGGTATTGAAAGGACAAAAGACGTTCCGTAAAACTCTAACCACAAAGGCACCGGAAATTCGCCAGCGAGTAGACGCAACTCGGGGAAATCTATCGCAGTTATTCGCATTCATTCAGTTCCGGCACAAACAGAGTTGACAGACAGACGCTACCGAAGCGGTGGTGCCCCAATGGTGGCTGGTTCTTATCAGAGCGAGGACGCCATTGCATTTGGCAGATCATTTCCCGCCTGGCCAATCCCATATACGTGCCTGCCGTGCACCCAGAAATCCATTACCCCTGCCATTATCCAGGGGCTGGCGCGGCGGCGGCGGCGGCGGCGCGGCCGGCCCGGCCCGCCATCGCCTCAGTCATTGCGCCGCCCGCTCTGCGCCCGTGTACAGATGTAGCGGCCAGCTAGCCCGTCCGAGGGCGTCATTTATCGTCCAGCCATCAGCCATTGGGCCGGCCGTATCCGTCAGAGGCAGCGCGCGCTGCGCCCGAGGGGGCACCGGTTCATTGTTCATTTCTGGGCTCCCCTCGGCGCCCGGACCCCTCCCTCACCCCAGCGGTGCATCTGCATACGACGGACGGCGAGCACCAACAGACAGACAGACAGACGGACAGACGGTGGCCTGGCGAGCCGAGCCGCGGCGTCGGGCACTCTGCACACGGCACAGCAGCGCTCCACGCGGCCCGAGTGGGCGCCGATAAACTCGTATCGGCCGAACGGGTTTTACGAGTGCTCGTCGATAGAGGCGGCCGTGTGTGCGCTGCGCACGCTTATCGCTTTATTTCAAACTCTGAGCAAACAGCGCGCACGCAAGTCAGCTCCGATAGCCAATCGGCCGGCACGCCGGCCCTCCGTGCCGGGGTTAGTTTGAGGTTTAGCGGTGAATGCCTGAACCACTCAGGACGCCAATCGACTACTAATGGACATCTTTCAGGTGACAATGATATGATTGATAAACATGCCTAATCCTGCAATAAGACCTGCATGATAGCGCTGCAAAATCGCGCCGAAAACCTGCACGACCAAGATTGAAGCAAAGTCGTTCTTATTTAATACGAAGTCGTCGGGAAGTCATAGATAGTGTAGATATCCTATCTTCTCGGAAAGTATTACTGCAAGCGAGGGTCATTAAATCACTTGAACAAAATTTAGTATCCAAGGGAATATCGTTTCGACCCATGAAGGGTTCTGGCGTTCATTTCACATCAGGCAAGAGACCGACCTGGTATCGTTGGGACTGAACTGACGACGCGCCGCGGTTATTACGAACTCTTCCGGTGCCGGGCGCGGCGGAAGGGAGCGATTTTCTGCCGTCTCCCAGCGGAGCCGTATGAAAGCTGCGCCAATTAAACTCATTCACGGACAGAAACGGACCGATTACCCGGCCACTGGGGTGGGGTCCGGGCAGGGGCGGGCAGGGGAGTGGGTGGGGCGGCGGGAAACCAGCTGCAGGCGTGGAATGGGTGGGCTGGGGGGGGGGGGGAGGAGTGTCAGCTTATGAGTTACGATATTCTTTTTTAGGGGGAATGTTGAGTTCAGTGGCGTCATATACTGGTTTGTATTTAGCTATTCCTGATATTTAGCATTTATCCTGCAAATAAGTTCAACAGCAAAAGGGTCCTTCTTATCATTCCATTATAACCTTTGACAACACAAGCCACTCCCGTTTCTGAATAATTCCAATGCACCGGGCGTCTCAAGCTCGTCAGTACCGGCCGGCCGGCCTCTGTCCAACGCGTAGCCGCAATTATCGCCACAACCGAGCCCGTTCGCCAAGGCCATCGGCTCTTATCAACCGGGCCCGTATCGGCCGGCCGGCCTCCCCGCCCCCGCCCCCGCGACCGGCCGCAGTCCCCCCCCCCCCCAAACTCTTTGTGCGGCACCCACGCCAGCGCAGGTGTCGGCAGAGGTGCCGGGGGGGGGGGGAGCGGGGCAGACATAGGTCACCGTCACTTCAAATGACAGCCTTCCGGGACCGAGCAGATGTGCCAACCCGTTGTGAATAATTGCGTTCAATTAATGTTCCATCAGGCTCCCATCATCGGCCTGGAATTGGTTGGGGTTGAAATTAGTTGGTCCCGATTCGGTGGGCACAAGTGGGTGTTGCCCGTGTAAAACTGTTCTTGTTTTAGCAGACGGGTCGGTAACCGCCGCCTCTCCTTCCGTTCGGGTGGGGGGTGGGGTGGGGGAGGGGCGACCGGGGACGGCAGAGGTGCCGAACGGTCGCTGCATTTAGCGGTATATAATTAGTGGCCATTATGCGCCAGCAGCCACATCAATTAGCAACTGTGCCGGGCAGCGCCGGCGCACCCCTGCCCACGTCATCGATTGGCCCCGCCCCGCGCCGCCATACTGGAAACGGGGACCAATTAGAGCGAAAGGGTTAACGCCGGGGAGGGTGGGGACGTCCATATCGGGCGCAGGGAGGGATGAGCGCAGCCGGGATTACCGGATCAGAACCGAGGTTGTGGGACTGTGGTTGATATTCCAGTGCAAAACATGAGAGGCGAAGGTGTGGGTTCCATTTTCGTGTCTGGTTCTGGGTCAATATCGCCATGCGTGTGGTTATAAAAGACATTTACTGGTTATTGCTCATATTCCTCGCATTTTAGCGGGTAGGAATCGCCCATTGGTATGCCTCATTGATCTGACTTCAAGCGTTTCACCGCGTTTTTCTTAGATCACCACACAAGCAAATATGTCTAGCACTGCATCGTGTCCAGTCGTTCTGTCTTATGCACATTTGGTGCATTCATGTCGAGAAAAGTACAAAAGCAGCGAGCTTTTCCGCGTGACACAAACGCCCTACCTCAGCGCCGTTACGTTACTCAGCCCCGTGCCGGCGGGGTTTCCACGGTCACATACCCGTCACATGTCGTGACACCGGACGTCACGGCGGCCTCAGCTCGGCGCGTGACGCCCCCCTCCCCTCCCCTCCCCCCCGACATCCGGCCAATCATCTCAGCGCCATCAATAACCCGTTCAAGGGCGCCGTCCGAGTTAAAGGGAAGTGGCCGCGGGCGATGACCTCAGTGACAGTTAATTCAGTCACTGAGGTCACCGCACGAA